TTTCCACTGTATTCGGGAAATACTTAAACCAATATTTTTAAAACTGGGAAGCTGAATCATTTTTTTTAAAATTGTCATCCTGGTTCACATACAAGATAGTTTGTGGGACTCAAAAGATCTAGGTCATGTTCTGGCTCCTTTACTAGCTTCCTATGATGTTAGACCAATTGCTTGATTTCCGTGTGCTTTGGCTTCCTTTTCTTCAAATTAAGGATCATGATGTTTGCTTATCAACCAAATATATTGAATGGGAATTTATATTAATTAGCCTTTATTCCCATGTTAATTAATAGAATGTTAATTGCCATTAAAATATTTTTGAAATATGCTGTTGTTTATGGATAAGCATTAGGCCAGGTGTAATTCAAGGCTGAAGGTTCAAGTCCTACCTTTTGTATATCAAAAGGGTGGGAAACTTTTGGAACACTTTAGCACTGGGACAATTACCCAAAGTGCATGGGGCCATGTTGGATATTTAGAGCAAAATTAGATTCCCCCTTTCTATTTTTTAGGATGGTGCTGGAGACAATTCTTCAGTTTTTAACATGGTATTCAGCCTGCGGTAGAGTTTTCAGTACTCTTCTGTGCTTTTCTCACCACAGCCTGGCACAAAACTATGCCCCTGGCTTTTGTGGGCAAAACAAAAGGGTTCCAGAGCCTGCTGTGACCTGGCATATTTAAACACCTCCACATGGTGCAATTCTTGTAAGGCATTGGTGAAACATTGGATTTTCAAATTAGTGCCAAATTCAGTTTGGCATCAACCCTCAGTAAGGATATGGACATTATATGCCTTCCAAAAATGCAGCCATGTCACAGACATATCTTCCCATTATTTTGAAGCTGGAAAATATTTGATAGGCCTGAACATCACTCAGTGTGTGATGCTATAGGAGGAATAGACAGGCAGTGTTACCAGTAAGTGTGTGAACAGACACTCCTGCCCTGGAATAAATGTGTGTGTGTGTGCCCTAGCAGCAAAATCTTTGAAACTAACCAGTAATGACTATACATGTCTGTAGACCCTTCAGGCACAAGTTATAAGCCTGGCATTCTTAAAATGTCTTTAAACGAATATAGGCTTTTGTAGCTGAGTGTGATTTTTTTTTTTAAATTTGAGTGATTGTTCTAGTGTACTGATGATTAATTTAACCCATCCAGGCTCCACAAGTGGAGAATCATTCATTTGTAGCTTGCTTTGATTCTTTTGTATGAGGGACTTGACTTATGAGCTCCTGCTGGTGTGCAGCCCACCTCAAGGAATGTAGAAGAATGTATAAAAGATGATGATTTTTTGTTTTACTGCTTGGCAAGCATTCAGTTTAACAAGAACATGCAGCACACCAGAACACTTTCCCGTGCAAGACCACTTGAAATGAATGGGAGCTGTGCAAAAGCTTATGGAATACAATTCAAAATGGATTTTTAATTTTTTTTTGTTTATTATTATATTTATATCCTTCCTTTCTGCTTCGATGTTATCATTATGGTGATTTGATGATTTACATTGTTGCATACTCTGGGCAGGTAAAAACTTGATTCAGCTAATCCCAAAAGCAACTTTAAATATCTCCTGCAACATTATACTGTTCTCTCTGTTATAAATTATATTATCTATTTTGTACGGCTAGCCTTGCAAATACATTTAGGTATTCCCCACCTCAGAAGTGTATGCCACTTAATCATACCTGCCTGTGACAATATCTGTTAGAAAGATGGGTATCTTCAGGAAAATAAAGTCTCTATGCACAGATAGAGCTTTATTGCAGCTTCCAAAGTTGCAGTTAAATATTAAGCAAAGGCGGGAACAAAATAAGGAAAGAGTTGTTTTTAAGCATGTCACCAAATTTGTTTTGCCCTTTGCAAACTAAGCTGACTTATTGATGATGACTAGCGCTGTATGAAATCTCCTTTCCTGGGTTCTGTTTCGTTCTCAGGGTTCCTAAGTCTTTTCAATTTCTTGGTGGTGATTTTGAGCTGCTTGTATTGTTGCAAGAGGCAAAGGGTACACAATCATGGGTGTCTTCCTTTATACATCTTTCCATTACTCCAAAATGTCCAGGGCAGCAGTCATATCTCAGCTTGAAAAGGCCCCAGGGGGACAAGTTCCCCACCATGTCTTCCCTTCCATTGAATGCAAGATGAGAAGCCAGGGACTTCCACAAAAGACTGGAATTTACACACACACACACACACACACTGTCCATCTGCTACCTAGTAAGTACAAGAACACCAGGAGCAGATTTTAAACATTCACTTACAGCAAAGTACCAGAGAATTGGTAGGGAGCAAACCCTTGCTGGAAGGGTAACTTGCTGGTGCTTATTATAGAAGACCCTTAGTTTAGGGTAGCAAAACATTAGGAAGAGTCTGGTATCACCTTCTCCAACTAGCAAATTGTATTAAAAGGTGCACAAAAGTTCACACCTTTTAATAAAATGTGTTAATCAGCAATGCTTCTACCAGACTCCTGATTTTTTGCTCCCGAATCAGCCACCGATCAGGCCATTGGGCTCCGTAGGTGTTCCTCGGGACAGATCTGGAGACTGCACCAGCAGGAGGGGGGTGGGAGAAGAACGAGAATCGTGAGTTTCCAGAGAAGGCCAAAAGCCCCGCCTCTGGACCAACTAAGCGAAAGCTCCGGGCTGGAATAATATCCTGGGAGGGGGGGATTTCCTCTAATGTTGGTGTCCTTTGGGGGTTGGAGGAACCTTCAGAGATAACCAGTGAGTGGTGCAATCCGAGCGGCGTCAACGAAAGGTTTAGCTCGATAGACAGAAGGCTGCGAAGCTGCTGAGATAGGAGCGGTGCCTTCCCGTTTCCTTTCTCAAAAGGTGTCACGCGTTTGGGGAAATATGCTCGCCGAGAAAGTCTCCACTCCCAAATGACATTGCTGCATCCAGCTGGCACAGGCTGTCCTTCTGTCTTCCAGTCCCATCGCTCTAGCAGACATGCTTTCTGGGGTGTAATGTTAGAACTTCCATGTTCAGAAACAGTGTATCAGTGAACGTCAATCCATCCGTGAAGGTGTTTGCAAGTCGCCTGTTGCGAATGCGCCTTATGGGACACAAGTGCTCGAGACAGAGAACTTTGGCCGGAGGAAAGACGGCTCTTCTTAGGAATGGACCAGTGTCCCTCGATCTCGTGGATAGGGGAGGGAGGGGAAGCCACGGACACACTTGCCTGGGGCCCCATACCTGGAATGGCGAATCCAAAGGATTAGAAAGGATTAGATGAGTCGGTGCTTTCTACTCAAGAGTTAGAATGATCAATTGAGATGCCATCTCAAGGGCTATTTTGAAAATAACTTCAGTGGACAAAAAGCAATCAACATAAGGTGCAGTGAGAAAAAAGTGAGAGGAAGGGGGCTGAAATGCTCCCCACCTCCCAAAGTCCAGGAAAACCTTGACACACACACACCCAAATCTGGAAAGGCATATTTGGAAAAAGATGCCATCTGAAGTTGCGATCATCAGCAAAACCAGTTCTCTCTCTAGGGAAGTCGGGCTACTAAACATGCTTCAAAATCTGAGCATCTCGACTGAGATGGGAGTGACGGCCGTCCTCTCCTGTCATTCACAGACAGAAGTTGGAAAGTTTGTGTGAAAGCCCAGGGAAAACATTTTGTGCCTGAGACTGAAGCTCCCAAATATGCAAACGGCCCTCATGTATTTCCCGCGCTTAAATGTATTTCTCAAAAGCAACCTCCGGTTGGCAAAGACCCTTCCTGAAAGGCCAAGCCTGGGAGGGGGGAGAACCTCACCTACTTGGAAGCGAACGACCTTAGCAGCAAGCCTGGCCCAGCGGTGGGGGCCCCTGAAGGTGGCCTCGCTTCCCCCGCCCCAGCTACATCCAGGACGGTCCAGAGCGTGCCAGAGAGGAAGAGTCGTGCTCCCGGTTCCCAGATGGAAACGTGCCCGAGATCATTCGCTTTCTTTGCCCCGCCAGGAAGCATCGCTGGAAATGG